AGAGCAAAAAACGATGAGGATGCAGTTACATGACCATCATTTTTATTCTTTATTCTTTGTTTTTTTTCCGTTCTGCACAACTCTCATTTATTGTACAATAATCTAATTGTAACATGTATTTGTTGTATATTTTGATGCATTTTTATGCTTTAGAAAACATTTATGTCTGAATTTTGGTGGGGGCTTGGAACAGATTAGGGCATTTACATGGAAAACGCGTCTCCTTACAACATTTTCTAGTTAAGAAATTTCTTCCAGAACCAATTAATTTCGTAAGTAGAGTTACCACTGTAGTTTTAGGGAACGTGAGGCCTTGTTGACCAAACGATGGCTTGACTGATTACCGTCACATTTGCTGTATGATGCTAGTTGGATTTCAAATTGTAGGAAGATAGAAGTTTCATTCATTTTATAGTGGAGGTGTTCCAAAATCTAGAAATTGTGTGAAATTCAGTTTGTGTAATACATGTCGACACTACCTGGCACTACATGATATATTTTAAGAACCATGTTTTCTAATTTTGGTCCTATGTTGAAAACCTTAGGTCAGTCAAATCTGTAAGGACATGGGCTATGCACACAAGCAACATGTTTTTTACATTTTCTTAAGTCAAAACATTTGCTGCTTTCAGAATTTATGGCATGTTTTGCAATCAGATGGACGTTTGGCAGCCTCAAAGCGAGGTAATTGTTCCCCCGGGAGACGTTCAAGCATACCAAAGACCTTCAAATTATAGGCTGAGAGATACAAGAAACAGACGATTTTTATTCCCCCGCCCCCCCATCCATGAATGATTGAATGATGTTTTTTGCTCGTAGTTATCAATGCACAGTTGCACAAGCTTGTGTGTGTCTGTGTGTGTGCATGTGCGTGCGTGTGTGATTAAAACACCTCCTCACTTTTGTTCTCTCTTCACCACCTTTGACAGGCTCACAAATGTAACACGCAAACAATACATTACTGAAACGCGCTGCTTCCTGACAAGAATCCAACCGCATTGGCTCCAATTAACTTCACAGGCACTTTTCACTTGATGAAGCGGTCAAAGACAGCAGCGACAACACCATTTCTGAAAAATAATTAGCCCCTTCTTACTCCCCCTCCATTGAGACGGCAACAATATAAACTCCCACATGTTGACACCCCAGTTTACGGTTTCGTGATTTGAATTATTAATTGCCAGTTATGTTCTCATGGCTGGAAGGAGGATGTGGACTTCCAGACTGTTATCCGACTGCCTCGCTTTCCCCTCATCAGGGGACGGGGCTGAAAGTGATATCTCCTAATGATTGCCCTCGCAGTCTTTCAGTAAATGAGCGAAAGTGATCCGGCACTCTAATGACCAATGTGAATAATTGCCATCTAAATAAAGGCTTAAAAAAAAAAATCGCATTGCTGTGTCTCTTGCTATCTTTGCTCTATTCCTCTTCTCTTTTCAAACTGGGCTCACTGTAGTTGTATGGCAGTAACGGTCAATAGTTTATTCTACTGAAGTGCGAAGATGCGAGGCGATAGGAGTTGAGAAAATCGGCGTTTGTAATATGACAGGGGCGGGGGGAGGCATATTCTTTGACAGTGACAAATGAGTAAGAAACGTCGAAAAATAAAGTCACGAATGAGTATCATCATCCTTGTTGTTGTAACCCGTTAGAATAAAACACACTTCTTTTCTAATTCGTGTGCAATATGCTTGCTCGCTCACCCCAAAAAAAAAAAAAAAAGATTTGGCAGAATTTTTGTGTGGAAGGTTTGATGACAGGGGCTTGGTGCAATCCCTAGTCAGCTACATGAACCACTACGCTATCAGCTTGTAAGTTCCCTCGAGGAAACATTGTCCTCTATTGTTTTGTGGCAGCAGGCTGTTCTCAGATTTTTTTTTTTTTTTTATTTTTAGTTCTCATCTGTGTCGACATCCATTACTTCTGTTGGAATGCGTACATGTATTTTTCCTTACCGCAGATCAGAGAGGAGCTCAGAGTGCCATCCATTCGGGGTCCAACATTTAGCCGGATGAAAGCGCCGCAGAGTTCCACCGAGATTAAAGAAAAGGCACCAGAGAAGAAGAATCTTGATTTTATCTTTTTATTTGTTTGTTCTTACTGGCCTTCTGCCTTCCTGCACGTGACCTCCTTTTACACTTGAGTGATTAAAACGCCAAATTTTCCAACAAGAGGCAATAAATCAAACTAAATATCCAAAGGAAGCGATGGGAATGAGAGGGATGCGAGAAGTAAATAAATGACAAATAGGGAATGAGAACGTCGAGGACTGGGATTTGATGGTTACGTGGCTTGAGGAAAATACCCGCAATAAGACGGCAGTTTTTCAGAGTGGAGAACTAACAGGAAGCTCATCAGACTGCTGTGCTGACTGACAGACAAGAAGCCAATTTCGGTTCAACAAGCTGTCCCAGCATCCAAATCAGTCAGTGGGTCACTTAATGAGTTTGGAATAACTGGAAGGATAAATGTTGATAGCAGTACATGAAAATTTGGTCCAGTGGTTGTGTCTTCCGGCGGCCCGGTGGTCCAGTAGTGAGCGCTTCGACCTCACAGTTCAGCGGTCGTGGGTTTGATCCCGGCTCCGGCCCCCCTGTGTGGAGTTTGCATGTTCTACCCGTGCCTGCGTGGCTTTTCTACGGGTACTCCAGTTTCTGATTGAACACTGTAAATTGTCCCAAGGTGTGAATGTGAGCGCGGATGGTTGTTCGTCTCCGTGTGCCGAGCGATTGGCTGGCAACCGGCTCAGGGTGTCCCCCGCCTACTGCCCGAAGATGGCTGGGATAGGCTCCAGCATCCCCCGCGACTCTTGTGAGGATAAAGCGGATCGGAAAACAAGATAAGAAAACCTTTATTTGTCTCACGATGGAGAAATTCCCAATTTACAGCAGTAAAACTATGAAAGGGATAAAGTAGAAGAAATAAGGATATAAATAAATACAAATATAAAATATAAATATAAGCATATTAAAAATGGGTGAGTTGGGGTGAGTCCAGGTTTTCAGGACCGTCTATTCAATAGCCTGACAGCAATCGGCAGTAACGAGCGACGGTACCTCTCCTTCTTGCAGCGCGGGTGTATCAGTCTCTGGCTCAAGGAGCTACCCAGTGCTGTCAGGGTGGCCTGGAGGGGGTGGGAGGGTCTGTCCATCATAGCTGTTAGCTTAGCTAGCAACTTTAGAGTGTTGCATTAACCTGCCAAGCATGTTTTTGGAATGTGGGCGGAAACTGGAGTGCTCGGAGAAAACCATAATACGCAGGCACGGGGACAACATGCAAACTCCACACAAGGAGGCTGGAGCCGGGACCGAACCCTGCACCTCTGTGAGATATCTATCTATCTATCTATCTATCTATCTATCTATCTATCTATCTATCTATCTATCTATCAGGCAATGAAAGAGAATTTCAGAGTGCATTTTATCAGAGCTGGAGGGTTGACAGGAATTTCCCTTTGCTAATCAGTTATATTTATAGTTGTTACTCTCTGAGTTCCTTGAAATGTCATTGAAGGCATTCATGTAAAAAGCCAGTTTAGTTGGCAGAGATGTAAAGAAACTTGGCTGTGGCCTTCATCACTTGACCACATGACACAAAAAATGAAGCCGCGCGCCTTCGGGAGTCCCGAGCAGACGATGGAAGCAGGCTGGCCGGCCTCCAACGAGGGAGTAAATGTGCGTTGTTGTTCCTGCAATCCAATCATTCTGTTGCGAAGCCGTCGTCGGATCTGCCGATTTAATCCCCAAAACTAAACAAGAAACATTAGCGGCGGACAGATGAGACGGTCGATAAAACAGTCACTGCATAGAGGGCGGATCAATACAAATCTGGAGGAAAAAAAGATTTGTCCACTAACAAGTTGAAACAAAAACCGAGTGTGATGCATTCTAACAACATTCAATAATTACTTTGTAAGAAAAAGAGAAAAAAAAAGTACAGCATATTGTATACATATACACTTTTTGTTTTGGCCTCCTTTTTACTTGTCAATCTTCATTTACATCACAGAGTTTAGGTTGTGGAGAGTTGCAGTGAGGTCCCGAAGTAGGTTAAAGTTCAGCGTTAATTTAAGAGCGGTTTGTAAAGTTGTGGTATTGGCCATGTAGGAATTACAGCCATTTCATGAAGAGTACATAGTGCAAAGTTTACCGTGTTGGAAAAATGATGTGGTATGCTTTGGATCCTTTGAAAGTTGGACTGTGCATATAATATGGTGCACTATGAATCATTTTGAAAGCGATACTTTTCATATTATGTGGAATACTTTGGCTCCTTTGAAGGCGGTTCTGTGCATAAAATGACGCCAATCCCGAAACGCTAAATACTATATTTGGAGGAAACCTCTTAAACTAAAGCTGTAAAGTCAACACTTCGACCAGCTTGATTTTTTTTTCTTGCTAAACCATTGCGTTGGTACTATAAAAGGCAAAAATCTTGAGACCTTGAAAGGCCACGACATACCAAAAAGGCTGCTATAAGAAAGAAAAAAAAAAAAAATCAACAAAGCCAGTGATGGCCAAGTACTTTTGCACAGGAAGCTACTGTTACCATGTTTTGATGGAAATGTCTTGGTTGAGCTTAGCGAGAGGTGGGAACTCCCTGAACATTAATCAATAGTCTTACATTTATGAATGAACTTAATTCATATCCTTGCTGAAAGTGCTCCACACACACACACACACACACACACACACACACACACACACACACACACACAGACACACACTGAGACACACAATCGGATGGCACACAGACGACATTAGCAATTCTGCCGCTAATTGCATCACGTACTACATTTCCTGGAGGATTAGTAGAGCCTGAGTGACTCGCCTGTGTGTGTGTGTGTGTGTGTGTGTGTGTGTGTGTGTGTGTGTGTGTGTGTTTATCTGCATTCTGTGTGCTCACTGGAACAGGGAACCTGACAATCAATTATTCATATTGTGTGCTACTCAATCAGATACTTGGGAATCCATCTCACCCCCTGCCCCCCCCACCTGCAGGGATTACAGGACGATGGGAGGCAGCACAGCGGCACGGCTGCACATCAACATGCGACCGTTACGGTGGCAACCGGGAATCCTTCATCGGGATCAAGAGAGCACAGGGTGGTGCTCCCCCGTCCCTGCTTCCACAGGTGGAAAGGGTAGGAGCAGCGTAATGACTTTCAGTAGTGTGCATTCAAAGCTAAATATGCAGACTCCAGCGTTTACTCAACAAGTGTTACTTGTCTTTTAAAGTACAAAAAAAAAATCATCAAAGAAGCAGCTTGATGCTGGGAGAAATATTTGCTTTCCTGCCAAGAGTTGTATGAGATTGATGCCAGAGGGGAATATGGTAAACATTAGTCAAGCTCCCATTCAGACGGGACATTATCTTCCTGCCAGAGCCTCTGAAGTCCACATACTAATATGTTAGACTTTATTTATTTAATGTGCCTGGCAAGTTTTTTTTTTAAATATATATATATTTTTCCCCAGTGCAAAGGTCTTTCTGGCATAAGAAAAAAAAACATTCAAGGATGGCACAAAACGGCTAAACAGCAAACCAACTTATTTTTTCCACAAAAAAAAAATCCTCAACATTTTAATATTATGTAGACGGTTTATATATTCCAGTATATCATTTCAAATCTGATGAAAAATTACTCGAGTTGTGGCATACGGCAATAAAAGACCTCATGTTAGTGCAGCTGAGCCATGTCTGCCATCTAGTGGTGGTACTACGACATTAAAACTACAGCCAACTTCCGACATAGTCGCGGTTTGGCAGCGGCAGATTCGCATATTCTCAAATGTCTTTTTTTTTTCAGTATTTGTTCTTATTTTGGCTATTTATTTTCATATTTTAATTTCTACGCAGTTTTTCATGAAAAATGTCATGAATATTAATATTTTTTTGGAAAATTTGGTTTGGGTTTGTAAAAGAAAAAAAAGATGTACATATTTTTTTCTTAAACGAATCAAGGGGCCAATCAGAGTGTTGTCAGGGGCTACATGTGACTTGCGAGCCGCCAGTTGCCCATCCCTGATATAAGGCAAGGAAGAATATTTGAGTCGTAAACTAAACAAAATATTGACCACCGATGCTTCGCTCTAAGAAGGTACAAGCATATTAATATCTCCCAACCAATCAGACAAGAAATACGACAATTTAAAAGATCTAATCAAATTTGATGTGAAGAAATGTTTTTGGAATATTGTTGTTATAAATACTGTATAACTGATTGACAGCTAACCTGAACTTTTTACTCCTATCCAAATGGACAAAATGGTAAAAATGTTACATAACACACTACAATTTAAATGGTGGCACCAAGTTCACCCTGCAACAGATTCATTCACTTTCCATTATTTCCGATGGGAATTTTTTTTTTCCCTCTCAATTTGACCAAAGTGGAGCTCAAACCGGTCTCTTGGAATTGGTCCCGTTCATCCTCTGACACTCGGCTGGATTTATTTGTCTAAAGTTCGAATAGCCTTTATACAACAACAACCTTAGTAAGTGGTTGCGATACATTTTCTTCAAATTAGTCCATGACTTTTACCATAACTGCAGTGAAAGGGAAAACAAAAACACTGTTGCAATATTTCTAGTCGGTCTTCATTCAGCATTCGAGAAAGGGGGCGGGGGGGAGGGGAGCCCTGCAGCAAAGTCATTCTCTCAGTCAGTAGCACTGAAGTATAAATCTTAGATTTGTCAAAGTGACTTTTTTATCTCGGTCCAAGCTCGGTTATTATTTTTTTCTGTCTTACATGGAGCATCCACCAACACCGCCCCCCCCCCCCCCCTTTTTTTTTTTTTTTTTTATCAGGCGTGATGAGGTCCATCATGCTTGCTGCCATGAAGGATGATTTGCGCGGCTCGGAAAAAAGCTTGCTGTACCATGTGGCTAATGAAGACGTAGAGGCTGTCAGTGGCCGAATTTCCTTTACAGTCGTTTGATTTGCGGTGTTGGTCGGCTCTCAGTCAGAGCTGCGTATTGTTTGAGTTTTGGCTTTTCCTCTTCCTGATTGATGCTCCGCTACGGTTTTAGGTTGTTTCTGTGTGCCCTGAGATTGGCTGGCAACCAGTTCAGGGTGTCCTTCGCCGACTGCCCGAAGACAGCTGGAATAGGCTCCAGCACACCCCGCGACCCTTGGGAGGATAAAGCAGATCAGAAAATGGATGGATGGATAATTTGAGGCGCTAGCTTGCTTCCATCAGAACACATTGTACGTCGGAGGAATATGGCCAATACATGTGTTGCATATTAGAGTTTTGCAGCTGGCTCGCATTTAACACACCTCAGTATCGTCAAGTTATCCTTCCTAGATTGAGCCAATTCTCCGCCCTGTGCATGTGACAGAACAATTTCCGCCTCATTATTGCATTTAATGCAGAGTAAAAGCGGCGTAAAAAGGCTACAATAAATCTGCTTAGTGGAGATGGTGCAAGCACGAACGAGGAATCCATTACGTTTTGGTACTGATGCGTTTTACAGCAGAAAAAAAAAAGTAATTTTATGACTTTGGCCTTGGCAGAAGTATACCCTTCTAAAATGTAATGAGGCCTGGGCCTAAATCATTTTATTTATTTGTAGAATACATTTTCTATCAGGGTGCCAATCACCTTTTTGCCATCAGACTATTACTTTCCCGGGGGGGTCACTTGTCATTTGCCTGCCACAACATGGAGCTTAGCTCCGCCCCTCACCTGTCAGAGAGAAGTTCAGTTTGGGGGTTTTCCCATTTTATTTCTTCTTGTTCATTAATTTCAAGGAGGGGGAAAAACGCATTCGATTTTTGTGATTTTGTGTCTTTTTGAATGTTTTTTTTTTTTTATTCTTCTACCAAATATTTTCTGTTATATAATAAGCACGGTGTGAGATTTTATTGAATTTTACTGCATTTCTATTTCTTTAAAATCTTTGAATTTATCAATTTTTATCATTATCTTTTGAGAGGTTTTTCATTTATTTTCATGATTTTTGTTTTTTTTTTTTTTTTTTTTTTTTACTAAAAGAAAAACCCACCGTAATTTGGTCATGTAGATCTTCTTAGATTTGATCTTTAATTCATTAATTTAAAAAACAATGACTTTAATTTCGTTCTAAAGGTTGGGTAAAAGTCTTGGTTCCGAGATACTGTTAGTTTTTCATCTTTTACTTGTTTGTTGTATTACAAAAAGGAAAAAAAAACCCCGCAACATTTACAGTACAGTGAGGGCGGGTGAAAAGAAACTAGACATGAATGCTAATACAATCCACATTCCTTTTCCAAATTCATCAAAATGAATGATCTATGTTTCGGTGTAAGTGCCAGTGGCATCAACGAGATTCCTCAAAAGGCTTGGGATGGAATGAACAAACGGTCCATTTAACCTGTGTATCCACCTGTTGTCATTCAACAACCCCAAAATAGCTTTGCAGTCAACTAAACAGGCCCGGCTTGAAAATACCCCACTAAAATAAGCATATTCGGAAATATGAATTCCGGCCCCTTCATATAGCCAAACAGGGCATCGTGATGTCATAGTACATAAAAGAATCTCGCCATGTTTCGTTTAAAAACAGAGACGTTCACATGGCTCAACACTTGGCTCCATGTGAACGGATGCCTCATTATTTCCTGTTCGACGCGCTTATGTGTGCGCGCGCGGCGCGTGCGTGCATGCAGGGGAAATTGATTAAGACAACAACAGCGTGCGGCTGATATGCCGCCTGGTTAGAGCGGTGAAGGAGAGACAAGAGAAGCAATAAAAATGAAGCGCCACGCTCTGTGTGTTGTATTGGATGTAGGAGGAGAAGAGGGATTGACCGGCTTTGTGAGACAATAAAAATAGTGCTGACACGGCACTGATGCCGTGTGTGCGTGCGTGCGTGCGTGCGTGCGTGCGTGTGTGTGTGTGTGTGTGTGTGTGTGTGTGTGTGTGTGTGTGCGCGCGTGTGTGTGTGCGTGAGTATTTGTCTGTGGCAGGAATTGAAATGAACGAGTTCAATGACCAGAAAAGTTCCGGGAGAAGATCGGGAATCAAATCGCAGGTGCCCGCTTTGATTCCCAATGCTTAATGGCACCCCTTTAGTGAACTGCGTCGTGGATCAATGAAGGGGCGGGAGGCCAGCAAGGAATGACAAGTGGCGGTGGGAAGACCCAGTGGGGCAAACTGGGCAATGAGAGAAGAAGAAGAAGAAGAAGAAGGATGGCGTCTGGCCATGATGGATGCGCTGCTTTCATTTTCTGCCCCTAACGAAGCCTCTAATTAGTGTTTGTGTAATTCCGCACTGTCTCCTCCGCCTGCTCGTCTTAATTAACGACATTCATCTTCGCCTCCCTCCATCCGTCCCTCTCTCCCCGCCCTCCCTCCTAAAATAACACCGCGTGAAGCCCACCTGGACCAGACCTGCTTTTATTTAACTCATTCTCTCTCTCTCTCTCTCGCCTCCCTTTCTCCCCCTCCTCTTCTCGCCAGCCTTGCGCTCTAACTGTAAGCACTCTCAGGTCACTTCACCTTGAGAAATAGCCCCTCTGCCTTTTGTTTTGTGCGCTGACTGCGTAAGTGCTCTGCCAAGCAGCCCACCCGTGCGAGTCTCCCGAGTGGTGTATTGTGACAGCCCATTTAGTCATCCTCATCATTAATTTCAGCAGAAGGCTCAAGAATGAGCAGCAAATTCAAGGCCGCACCTGCTAAGTATTCAAGTCAACATGCTCCCTCCCTACCTCCGCTCCAGCAGAGAGGTGTTGCTAAAAGAAATTGAGGACGACACCAGACAAACTAAACAAGGAAACGGGAAAACGAGACACGTGAAGAGCTTCCCCCTGGCCGTTTTGCTGCTGCTGTGATATGACGGCGAATGCGGTTTGGGGAACGGGGCCCGTGGCGGCGTGGTCGTTTTATGGCGCGGTGGTCGCCCAGCGTGCAAAATTTGGGGTTGTATAGCTCAGGATTTGACCAAAAGTTGCGCAAATTCTGACTGCAATCATGCAGATGTCATGCAAGGCATCGGCCGTGAGTTCAGTTTAGCCAGCGTCATAAGTTTGCATGTTTTGCTTGTTCTTTGTGGCATTTTTTTCAACCCTTCAAAAGGAGGAGTAACAAAGCTGCCTCACAGTCAAAAAAATCCGGGTTCAAATCTCCATTGGGACATTTCTGTGTGATGTTTGCAAGCTTGCATGGGTTTTTAATTTTGAAAATATGCCTAGTTTAATACAATACGCCAAATCAGTGATTCCTAATTTTTATTTAGCGTCAAGGCACATGTTTTAAGTTAAGAAAATCTCACAGCACACCACCAAACAAAAATGCCACAAAAAAGTGGACACAGGTCAATTGGATATTTTCTTCACTCATCTAACTGACTGAGTTATTTCTTCTGGCTATCACTATAAGTCGCTGGCATAGACAGATGAACAAAGATA